GAGAAGAAGATAAAATCTAAAGGAGGGATAAATCATTACCACACCACTTATTGTTAGAGATATCTCTCTGGCATAAATCTTAGGTCGTGAATGCCAAACCATTTGAAGAAGCAATCAACTGTCGCACTGGTTTATCAATGCGTTTGGGGGTGGTGCAATTTGGAACTGAGCCACAGGAATCACTTTCCTGAGTGACTTAGCTTTTTCATAAACAGATCTTAAGTTACTAGTCCTTATGATAAGATTCCTAAACTTATACAGCCTTGCCCAGATTATTTGCTTTATTACATCTATGTTACATCATGGACCTCAAGTTGGCAAACTGTCAGGCTTCGGGGAATTGGCTTCCTCACCCATGGCAGTAAATAAGCAGATCAAATGAAAGGGAAGTCTTACCAGTTAGTTTCTTTAATAAACACAGTGAGAGAGAAAAGAAAGTGTCTCCCTAGAATGGCAGTGCTCCCAATTAAGGCTCACTCCTCCTCCGTCCCTATTAATCTACATCACTCCTATGTCTTGTAATCTGAGTTTGCACCCTCTGCGCTTTCTGTTCTAACACTCTCTGAGCTCTCCGTGCCCTTGGGGATGGGTGGGTGGGGATGCTGTTCAGAGACTGTGAATCAGTTAACATTCTCTCTTCCAGTGTTTCTTCTGCTAGTTGTTCCCCATCCAGTATTTCCCAGCTACCGCCTTCTGAACTATGCCCCTCTGCAAACCACTGTTCTAAATCTATACTGCCTTCCTTCTCCTGGGAAGATTCAGGGTCAGGGGGAGGGGGGTCTCCCACCATTCCTCCTCAGTGCAGCCCTCCTCAGCACGGTCCCTGACACACATACAGGTTTCGCCAGGAGGTCCTGACCAGACCAAGATTGGCTTAGCTTCTACTGTATCATATGCCTTCAAGACTGTAGCTCCAACTTTGTATTCTGCAGCTCTCTGCTTGCTTGTTTACTTCCACCACTGTCTTAGCCTTATTCCAGTTCAATGCACCTGGCTCTTTGTAGGATTCCCGGCAACCGAGAAACCTCAGACTGGCCCTTAGGGACCTTTCCAATTCATGGCAAACAATAATCCACTGAGCCAACCAATGTCATTCACATAAGCAAGGCAGCTGGCATGTTTTATAAATGCCACCGATGACAGCGAAAGAAAATACCAACTCATTGCGGTTCAGAAAGCACTCTTTAAAGTGCATTCTAGGAATGCAAAAGGGAGCGAGAAAGATTTTGACCTAGAAAAGGGGGGGGAAGCTGCTTGAGCTACCGTCTCCTCCATTTCCTGGTGTGAACCAGCCCCCTTTCTTGGTAGAAACATACCCCAAACAAATACATTACAATCAAAGTCAAAGCCAAGTGGAATTAAGAGGACACAGCCCATTGCTCTGGTGAGTGATGTCTTGCCACCATTTGATGCACTCGCTCCAGATTACGGGCCATGACTCTTCCTTCCAGCTATAGTGCCTATTAAGCACAGGACCACCCCGAGGGGGAAATTCCATCATGGGCTGAACGGATGATGCTCACAATAGCTGTTAGTTAATTAAACCAGAGCTTAATTTATGCTGGTGTTGCTGTTTGGTTCACACTTAGGGCGGAGGGGGAAATCTGCAACGAGGACAAGACTCATCCTAAAAAGTGGTTCATGTCTCCAATATTGGGAGATGTCTATCCCTAGGGCTTGATTTCAGATCAGGACCAGTAAACATAGCCCAGCAGTAGAAGAACTGCTTTGCACGCAGAAAGTCCCCCTCTATTTCTTACAAATGCAGAACAGGTGTTTTGTGGCACAGTTACAGGTACCACAAAACACCTGTTCTGCATTCGTAAGAAATAGATCTTTTAGTGTGGCAGCACCTGTACTTTGGAATTCCCTGCCTATTTACATCAAAGTAGAGTATAAATTGGGCCTGAGTAGGATGATAGAATGCATGTTCCAGAGACTCCCCCTCCCCGCATACTTAGGATAGAAACCTCCAAGGCAAATATTGTTGAGTCCAACTAATGTGCGTTGTTTGGGATGGGGGAATAGGGAATGCCATGTTTCAAATATGTTCACACATCCAGCTATATGTACTTGCATTGTTTTCCCTCCCAGAAGGAGGAACATGCTCAGTGAAACTGTAACGCTTGTAACAGCGGCACCTTGGGAAAGGATGGAGAGGGTCATACTCTGGCACATTTGCATGTAAATAGTTGTGATGTGTAATGATGCCACTCAGATTTGAACTGGTGGTAGTGATGGTTTGAGATATTAATTTGCTTTTCTCAGAATTCATGGTCAGATGCTGAACCAATCTCCTGAGCCACCATAAACTTCTTCTCCAACTCAGACCATAATCCAAAATGAAGAAGAATGACCTGCCCCATCCCTGCTCCTTCCCACTCTGGCTTGCCCTGGCAGTGCTGCCAACTATAACAATGTGAGTGGGAGGCATATATATGTAGTTCACATTCCCTGGTAGCTAGAATGTAAATGCCTTCAAATTCTCCTCTTCATTGTCCTTGGTGTTACTCAAGCTAAGTTCAGTAAAGGCATCTGAATACATAAACCCAAGCCTGTAGTCTGAAGTCCAGGGATGGCTTTAACATTTGATTTAGTTGAATGTGCAAACTCGTCCTTAGTTACAAAAGGAGACAATAAACTATTCTGGGCTGGCTGATGGACACACACAGGTGTGTAGAGTAAGGCATCGACATTGCCTAGTAATACATGGAATCTCAAAGGTAGGGCTGTCCAGCTGATTAAAGCATTTTTAGTTGATTATTACAAGAAAAAAATCTCAATTCATGTGCCTTTCTGAGATGCTGAAGGGTGACAGAATTTACACAAAAGTTACCACATGTTGTTTTAGAAGGAAAGGCTGTCATTCAGACTTTCTTTTTCATTCCTTATTACAGAAGCAAACCTAAACCAGAATAGCCTCAGGCCTTAACTTCCAGCCCCTCTGATGAAAATTGATCCCCCAATTATAATCAGGGCAAAACTGAAACTGCACCCCATTCCCCCCCAACATTTTAAGCAGCACTGAAACATGTTTCTGCCTATTAGCGATTTTCTGACACTCTCTGCGAAAGCGTTGGCTTTTCTGTTTAAATTGCCCTCACTTGCCATCAGTGATGTCGTCATGCAGCCGGATCTGACTGATCAAAGCAAAGTGAAGTTTTCTGCCATTCACAACAGGATCTCTAATTGGCTGGAATGGCCCATGCCATTAGTTCAGAAAGAGGAAGAAGGGTGAAGGGTGTGTGCCAGTGGTGGTGTTGAGATGATACTAATGCAGTTGCACTGAGGGGTAACAATGGCATGAACGAGGATTACACAAAGATGAAACTAAGGTCTTTGCGTATGTGTGTCCCCATTATGCAATTACTATTTTTTACCTTTAAACACCTAATATGATAAATATTTAGAACAGTCCTAATGATAATTAGATCTGCTGGTTAAACCAACTAAGGATGCAACCCTATAAAAACTTACCTGGGAGTAAATCCCATTAAATTCAACTGGTCGTGCTTCTGAACAGACATGTACAGAGTTGTGATGCATAGTCTATTAATAAGTTTAAAATCTTCCGGCCTAGTAGAATCCTAAGCATGCATTTTCCAAGCCACACTCTTTGAAGCTATAGAACAGTGAAGGCGCAGCTGAAAAGCCATTGGCAAGGAGCTTTCCCACTGAACCTCTGAGACTCCCCACCTCCATGAACAGGGTGAGATTTGTTTTCTTCCACAGTCCTGGATAGATGCAGGAAACATAGACGATGCCAAAGCGCATGGATGAGAAGCGTATGACACGGGTGGGGAAGAAGTGGTGGGACCTTTCATATGGTTTGGTTTGGAGCCATTCTGGAAAATCTACAGAGCTGAGGATATGTCTCAACGAACCTTAGATGCTCTTACAAGGGCCCCCGACAAACTGGAAAGGATGAGTTATTTCCCAGTGATGTTCTTGATTTTAACGGAAGGAGTTCAGTGTTCACTGGGATTAAAAAAAGGAGCTATCCCACAAGAGTCACGGGGCAAGAAGCAAACCACTGGCAAAGAATGTTTCGGTAATGTCCCTATGAACATGTCAGCTGGTTTAATAACAAAAGGGCTTTGCAAACTGGATGTTACTTGGCCCCATACAGTAATGCCAACATAAAATAGGTTGCTGTAGATCATGTTTGGCTCTACAAGTGGTGGGGAACTCCTGTTCTGTTATGCAGCACAGTCAATGATCAGTGATGATAGGAGTTGTAGTTCAGCCACATCTGGAGCAATCTTTCAAAAAGCTCTGTGTTAGGCAGAACAGTGAAACATGGGCATCGCCCTACTGGAAACCTGCAAGTTGCTCAAATACTTGCAGATCACAGGCACTCTGCTCCAGTTCTTTGTTTCAGCAGTCTTTAAGATTAGAGTCTGTGCCAACTGTGAACAGTGTTTCAGAAACTAGTTCTTTCAAGCTATTTTGGACTCTCTGCACTGTCAGCACAATATGAAGCCTCATCCTCTGTCCAGGTATATAAGTGTTCATTACCGATTTTGCTATCGCCAGTGGTTCACTTCTTGCCTTTGTGTCTCTATGCACAATCATAGCACAGGAAATGTATTGACTAATGGTCTCTTCCCTCTCTCTAGGCGGTGTCAGCTGTTTAATAGGACAGTCCTGGTGCCACAACCATGGAGAAGCCTATAGAAAGTGAAAGGTGGAAGCTTCTCATTGCACCATATCCTTTATTTACCTTCCTCTTTTCATGGAAGTCTTCTATATAATGCTCAAAGGCAGATGAGATTCTCAAAATTTGGTGCCATATCTAGAGGAAGTGATTAGTGGATGGTGTATGTTGTGATTTTGGGGGCACAAGATTCACTTCTGGTTTCTGGACCATACAAGACCCGCTCTCCACCCCTTCTGCCTCTGATGCATCTTCATTTCATACTCCTCAATTCACTTTCCCCTGGCTTGCTCACCCTGTCTTCACCTCATCATACATAGGCAAACATTGAAAACACACTTACATGTGTCTGGCTTGTGGCAATTGTGACCTTGACGGAAGTATTGTGGGTTCTCGATGACAGGGATACGGGTCATGCCAATCACCACTGTGTCCGGGCCAGCGTCCAACGACGAAGGTGTGGTGATGCCATGATTGATGTGATGAAGGGGGCTGGCAGAATCTTCTTCCCCACTGATCACAGCCACAGGACCTAGAAACAAACACAGTAAGCCATGAAGAAAACAGAAGAGTATGTTCCCAATTTCTCTGATATCCTTTCAGGGTGGTTCATTTCGGATCCAGTCATTACAGGGGACTGCATCCTGTTTTATGAGTTTTCTGCATGCCTCAGAACTATCTGTTTGCTTGCATTTTCAACCTGTGACCTACTGGATTTGGTTCAGTTTCTCAATGCCTTTAAGAGATTATATAAGTTTCCTAAAAGTGGAGTGGGCATGCTCTTCCCCTAGCATCCACTATGCCATCAGTGGGGGGGAAGGCATCTACATCAGCCATCATCACTACACCTGCTCACAAAGAGAAGCTCTTTGTACCTCTCCAACATGAGTGGGTGTCAAATGTTTGCATCCCAAGACATGTGGTCATGTTGAAAGGGGACTGTCCACTGCAGGAGGCTGAGCCAGTACAAACTGGTACGGAGCAGGAAGAACATAGTGCCTCTCAGGCCTTGTGGTCTTTTGAGGAGATATTGGAGTGTCAGACTAGGACCTGGGAGACCAGACTTCAAAATTCCCACTCAGCCATGAAGCTCACTGGGTGACCTTGGAGCAGCCACTGCCTCTTAGCCTAGCCTACCTCACAGGACTGTTATGGTATTCAGTGAGAAGGTGTGTGTGTGGGGGGGACTATGTATGGCACTTTTAGATGCTTGGATAAAAAGGTGGGATACGAAATGCAATTTAAAAAAAATTACTGAGAGCTTTCGTGGGTGCAGGAAGGAACACTGGCGCATGTGGGTGCCACACTGGCAACCATCGGTGTAAGGAGAAAACACAGGAATCTATCACTGAGCTCAGAAGTAGTAGAAGAAAAATCGACACACTCCTCAGCGTCCTAATCAAAGAGCAGCAAATTTATTCATACAACAGAGGGAAGAAAAATCTGCGCCTGGAGAAGTTTTTCTTCTGTTTTGTCGAAGCTGCCAGGGGCTAACAGAAGGTCAATGCAAGATGAGGAAAAGCTGCTGCAAGCACACTTCAAATGCATCCAAAAAGCCTGTCTTTTACCTGAGCCAGCGAAGGAGGGGGGAGATCTCTCTCCTGTCGCTAATCTATTTCTAATTGCACAATTACTTTATTATGGAACACGAGTAACAAAGAGGAGATTCTTCAAGTCATTCGAGTCTCTTGGTGCTTCAGAGAGCATCCAGAGAATGCACGCTCTGAATGCATTAATCTGTTTTTTTATTATTAAAAAAAGGAGGGGGAAGCCTGTTCATTTTTCAAGACTTCAAGTATTGTTTGTTCTTCCAAGTGGGACATAATAAAGTTGCTGTGTAATTAGCAGGACTCCTGGCAGCCCTGACAGGTGTTTTACTTGCTAGGAAGAAGTCTTTACTCCACACACACACACACTCATTGTAAACTCAGTTTGACAGGTTTGTGTTGTTATGTTCTGTCACTGCTTCTTGGCCTAAGTTGCAGTCAGCACCAAAGACGTTAATGGCAGACAGCATGCCGAGGAAACTGATCCCTGCCGCAAGATTGCACTGATAATCCTTATGATGCTCCTGTTTTCTCCACAAGTAAAGAGGAAACAAGCTGTTTCCAAACTAAGCAAGCTTTCATTATAGACTTGCAAAACGCCGATCATGCCAGCAGGCAATGAGTTGTGATGAAGGGGGAGTCTGTATTGACATTTTCATGGGACTCTTAAAGGCGGCCTCCAAGACAAGGAGCACATTATCTTCTCCTTCAGTTCTTCTGTGCCCCAAATTTCAATCTGAGCCAGAGAAGAACTCCATTCTTCCTTTACACCGACATGAATGACATGTTCGCCTCCAATCTCCTGACCTGCAAATCTCCAACCCACTCCTCCCAATGTACCTTGTTTGCTCCTGCTGATCCAAAAGTCAAGGCTGGTGACCTGTCACACAGACCCCATCCCACTATCAGTAGTGCTTGCCTTAGTGGTGCCAGGAATTAGAGGACTTAGAGAGAGACTTCCTTCTGCCACTGTAGTTGCAAGGTAATCAGGCAGGTGGGTAAAGGTTCACAGACGGATAAACGTGAAGGAAGACTCAGGGATGGATGGGTGGGAGGTTTTGTGTATATATATATATAGAGAGAGAGAGAGAGTTGAGTACTGGATGTTAGGACTTCTGCCCAGAGCAATAGTCTGGGCTCTGATGCTCTGATTTGGACATGGAGGTGATGACCAGATGTATTAGTTTAGTGGTGCTGGAGGCACTTGCCAGGGTCCCCACCACAGGTAGCAGTCTGAACCCCAATCCAACTCAGAGAGGCCACCCCTATCTATGAGTCCTGTGGCACCAGAGGATAACCCATACCAGGCCTGATCACAGCCACAGTCCAGCAGATAAGGACACTCAAAAGCTGGCACATATGGAGTCTGTATGTTCCAAACCCACATTCCCAATGGAATAACCCAGTCCATGGGAGGGATCCACAACCACAGATGTTGCTGGACTGCCACTTCAATCATCCCTAACCCATGACGGACTGACTGTGGCTGAAGGGAGTTGCAACTCAGGGGTGATGGAAGTTGTAATTCAGCAACATCTGGAGAGCCAAAGGTTCCCCACAACAGAACTAGATAAATCTAGGGTAGACAACCTTTAGTATACCAAGGCCCACATTCTTTTATAGGCATTGTCCGAGGAGGGAGAAACATCTAGTGGTCAATGGGAGTGGGTCAAAAGTGGGTAGCCTTGTCTCTTATATTTGCACATACAGAATGGAATTGTAGTGTTGGAAGGGGAAACAAGGGTCATCTAGTCCAACCCCTTGAAATGCAGGAATAGTTTGCCCAATGTGGGACTCAAACTCATGAGCCCGAGATTAAGAGTCCCATGCTCTGCTGACTGATGCCACCTTGTGCACAGTAGGCTAAATTCCAGTAACACAAAAGCCAAAGGTTTCATCTACACACACACAGAGAGAGAGAGAGAGGAGAGAAAGAGAGAGAGAGAGAGAGAGAGAGAGAGAGAGAGAGAGACCTCTGCAGCCCAAACCCAGGCAAACAAGAGATATTTTCACAGTTCGGAGACACATTCTAGCTGTGGGCAAGAAAACACCGAAGGAAGGTGAAGAGCAGAACCAGAGTCCTGGAAGCCATTTAAAGGGGGCTGGAAGACCACATTTGGTTCACAGGCTGTGGTTCCACATCCCTGAAGATAATACACACACACACACAACACACAGAGAGAGAGAGAGAGAGAGAAACCTGACAAGAAACACAATGAAAGACTATCAGAAACAGCTTAAGCTGGACTACTTCTCATTGCCAGAGAGTTTGCACTCAGCTGAGCTGACAAGCGCCCTGACAGGAAGTGTCAATCTCTGTCTCAGTTTTTGACACCTATCTCCTGCAAATCCAGGGTGATCCACACGGTTGGAATCCTCTCGGGAGCAGATGTTTCTGAAAGCCTCCCTCCAATAGCCCCCTCCGCCACCACACTCCTCAATGTGCTCTGACAATCTTCCCGACTCTCTCCTTTAGCATCAGCTGCCCTCACGCAATCCTACAACTCGCTTCCCTCTCCCCTAGCTAACTCATCTCTAAGGAGCTCCTACTGGTGCTCTGTAACCCTGTTTACCATTCCATCACACTGGCTGATTTTTAGCATCATTCATCCAGCCAGGGGCAGGTCTGGGTGTCTGCATCAATGCCATGGATCAATGAAAGCCAAGCAGAGATTCTAATTCACTGGCTGAATTTGTATGCCCTCTCTCTCTCTCTCTCTCTCTCTCTCTCTCTCTCTCTCTCTCCTCCATCCCACAGGGTAGAACTATAGGTTATTTATGTATTTATTTAAGCTATGGACTCCCCCCACCCTTCTCCTGTCTAACTTGCATTTCAAAACAGCAAGATTAAGTCAATAAAAACATATAGATCCAACACACACCAAAAACCTAGCAGCAGAAAGAACAGCCTTCCACAGGAACAGCTGTTAGCCTCTTGTAGGGATGGGGGAATAGGTCAGTTTTGATTTCTCTCACACACCCCAATCATAAGTTCAGTTCCCCATATTTCCACATCAGTTTGTTATTAAAAAAACCTCATGAAAATTCACCAGCATTTCTCCTGCTATGCACATTTGTCTAAGCAGTTTTGCCTAATATACACATTTTTGTTGCACAATTTCCCCTGCTACGGTGCATTTTGTTTCGCTCCCCCACCACAAATATATACATTTATATGCACATTTTTCTGTAGCATATGGATTTTCCCCCCTAACAGATCACCTGGCAGGAGACCTTCTTTGCAAAGTTTGGCAAAGTGTGAATTTCAAAGGGTGGTTGAGTTTTGGTTTGCAGATTGTTTTGGAAATTAGGTGGATTCACCTTTAAATGGAAACTGAATCAGTTGTTCTCCTATCCCCAGCCTCTTGTGGCAAAAACAAATGAGAGTGTTGTGCAACCTATGTGCCAACCTAACCCTCCAACCTTAAACATCAAGGTGGTATGATTGTGCTCATCCTAAGGCACCCCTACTTTCAGTATAGTGCAATTATAAGCATTTTTTTTTTTGGAGGGGGGAGCCAAAGCTCAGTGGTAGGACAACTGCATTGCATGCAGAAGGTCCCAGGTTCAATCCCTGGCATCTCCATAGAAATTCAGTTTTAACTCTTTTAAGCTCTATTGTCTTGAGATTTCTGTACACCTGTACAGATTACTATAAATCCAGTGGTATATAAATTGCCAAAATAAATATCTGTCAGGGACTGGACTGAAGAGGAATGTTAGGGGCCGCCCTCCCCTTCCTAAGAACAGGAGGACTGTATAGATTTAGAACAGTGGTTTGCAGAAGGGCATAGTTCAGAGGCTACAGAGTGGAGAAACTGGGGGGGGGGGACAGCAGGAAGGAGAAGCACCAGGGGAGAGACAGCTGACAGATTCAGTGCCCTTGGAAAGCATATTCCTGACCCCCCCCTCCCAGGACCAGGCAAGCATTGAGGGTATTAGAATGGATAACTCAGAGACAGAAAGCTCAGATTAACCAATGCAG